TGGTGCTGAACTTCTCAGGGTGGGGCAGCAGGCTGCTGGGTGCAGGGCTCCTGACTCTGGAATGTACTTCCTCATAGGGGTGCCAAGACCCAAACTTGGCAGATCCTAAACACAATGGCTTTTAAGCTCCCTGGCATTTATTATTTCTGACTGAGAGTGAATAAAAGGCTTTTTAAACTCAAAACTGAGATGTAGATTAAGGGGAATAGTCTAGGTATACTGAATTACTTTAACTTCAGAAAAAATAAAAGAAAGTCCTCTAAAGTAAAGTCATGTAATATAAATTACTGATACAAACTAACAGAAAATAACAATTTCTTTTCTATTATAACTTGTTTTTATTATACTTAACTGTTAAATGAGAGATGAGAAAATATGCTGATAATTACAAAACCTGTAGTTCCAAAATTGTATTTTAGAAAGAATCTTAAAACAGAATTTAGTCCATAAAATTAACAGCAAGCTTTATCACCGTAAGAGAAAACTATCTTAAACTATAACTCCATTCTTCCAAATACAAAATAAAGTCATAAAATAAATTCTTGTGTTTTAAAATAGCTAAAAATCAGGTTTATTTCAATTGTCAAAATTTTAAGTAGCTGTGGTAAGGCAATACTTTTGTTTTCCTTTGACCAGTAAGAAAGTTTTTGCTTTTTGGGGGGCAGGGGTGGGAGGACATGCTGGAGATCAAACCCAGGGATTCACTTGTGCTAGGTGAGCACTGTACCACTGAGCTACATGCCCAGCCCAGTGAAAACTTTTTTTTTTTTTTTTGGTACCAGGGATCAAACTTGGGACCTTGCACTTACAAGACAGGTGCGGGAACCACTAAGCTAAATCCCCGGCATGTCCAGTGAAAACTTTTCAACGGGAGCTGTTGTTTCTTTCCCACTCAGCTACCCATGAATGAGTCCCAGGAGCAGGAAGCTTGTAAGAGGCTGCTCTGGAGCAGCAGGCGTGGTGGGAAGAGGGAAGGCAGGGTGGCAGGGTGGTTTCTCCAGGCCCCCGGACCATCACAGCCCCTCCTCTCTCACACTCTTAGAGCGGCTCCATACATACTAACCCCCTTCACGGGGCCTACTGGGCTTGGACAGGTAGCCTGGGGACCTAAGCGCTGCCATGACTGACCAAGTGAAGACCAGAGGGCCTTCTTCAAATATTCTGCTCAGAGTTGGCATCCTACCACCACCTTACAAGTGGGGGCTGGCTCAGTCTGGCTCTCCACCAGCCAGGGTCAATGGAGGCTCAAAGCAGAGTACATGTGAGATAAAACAATAAGAAATAATGACGTTTAAAGGAATGGAATAAAACTGATATCTGCCCTATGACATCCTTTATTTGTGCCCAACAGCAACCACAACCCTGGATCACTAGCATTTACTAAATGGTTCTTTGGTTTCCCAGGATGGTCACTCGGTCATTGGAGGGTCATCATCTACTTGTCCCCAGAGCACATCACAGTATTGTGGAGTAGGGGCTTGAAAAGTCAAGCTAAAAGCATCCAAAGTCAAAGTGAAACATGCTTATAGTAAAGTCTTAGTATTTCAACACAGCATTGTTTAATCCTCCTTTTAAGAATAAAAATGATCGCTACTCACATACACATATGTATTAAAATATATGTATATAATAAGTCACAAATGCTTAAGGATATTACTACCAGGGTATTCACTTTAATTATAATTTTCAAATTGTAAAACACTTTATAAACCCAAGAATTGAAAACTGATTGAATAAATTACATCATAGCTATACATATATTTATACAGCAGAATATCGTACAAGCATTAAAATGGTGCTATATGAAAACATTTAAAGATGTAGAACATATCCATGACATATTAAATAAAAAAGTAGGTTATAAAATAGTATACCACTTTTGTAGAAATTATATACAAATGCTTAAAAGGCTATAATCATACAAGGCTACTACAAGGAGATGATATTGAATAAAAAGGGTTTTTTCTTTCTGGGAGGAAAGGCTCTAAGTTTTCTAAGTTTCATAAAAGCAATCATATATTTTTATAATAATAAATGTATAACACATGCTACATTTTTAAAAGACCACATAGCCAGGTGTAGTGGCACACACCTGTAATCTCAGGAGGCTGAGATAGGATCACAACTTGATCACAAGTTCAAGCCTACTCTGGGCAACTTAGCAAAATCCTGTCTCAAAATAAAAAATAAAGAGGCCTGGAGATGTGACTCAATGAGAAGGCCCTGGGTTCAATCTCTAGTACTAAATAAAAGAATAAAATAAAGTATCCACATGAAGCTGGGAGGCTATCCTCAGAGAAGAACACCTATACCATAACATGACCTATCTATAATATATAATAGCCTCATCCTCGACTGAAGAAGGAATGTTTTTTAATATGTTCAACCCAAGAAAACATGCTACAAGGGGTCTCTTCATGTCCTCTATGGCGTGGCAGAATAAAACCTGGCAGGCTGGTCTCAGGTGGGGTCAGGATGGATGCAATATAGTCCCAGGACACTCTGCATTTAGCTAGATCTATGTACACCATTAGAAAAAAATCTGTCCCTAAATGACACTTCTAGTATTTGGACTTCTAGAGAGCTCCCCGCAAGGAAGGGGGGGCAGAGGAAGATATTTTCATAAGAGCATATGAGGAGGAAAAAAAAGCGAAAAAAATCTGCATGGGGATATACAGAGAGCATGTGTGATTCCTGCAACCCATTGGAATGAAATGTTGACCTGCAGCAGTGAATGCATTTGATATTCTCGGCTGGTCTCTGAATAATTTTATAAGGCACACATGGTATTTCAGAAATACCATAGAATTTAAGAGTTTGCTCATTATAACCACAGAACAATTGAACCAAATGTAATTTAAGACTGCTCATATAAAGAGAAATACAAAATATTAAGATAAAGCGTAAGACTAGGTATTAGAAGACAGAATTTTTAGCCCAAGACACCTACTTATTATGTAATCACAGGAAAGTGCTCTGAGTGGCCTTGGACTGACCTCGTTCTCCTTCCTTCTTGTCTGCAGTTCTTACAAATAACCATAAAATGTGCTGGAAATGCCACATCCTGAGTTAAGGAGGAACTGCCTAAAGTGCTGCAGCCCTTATTCCTGCCCCTTTTGGGAATGTCACATCTTGAAATAGGAAGGAACTCCCCAGGACAGCCCAGACTTTGCTCCTCTCTCCCGTGGAAGCACAAGGTCTGTCAAAGCCATAGCCCAGTAAATCAGGTGGCCCCTTAGGTCTATAACCCCAGTCACTCAGGTACAGTAGAAAAGAGGCATGCTCAGTCTTGACTGTCTGCCCAGGCAACTTTACCAAGCCCAGGGGTGAGGGGTGAGGGGTGGGGTGGGGTCGATGGATTCTAGTCTTCCTCTGTCCCTTGCACCAAACTGCAAGTAATAAATCTTCACATATTTTGTGTGTGAGTGCCTTCAGTCTCCCTGCACTCAGACCAGCGGTAACCAGTGCACACTGAACCTGCTCCACAGTAATCTTGATCAAATGGCCTTTGAGCCCTCAGTTTCCTCACCAACCAAATGGAGGTAATAATAATACGGGTGTGACAAGAAGATCGATTGCAAATTTAGATCACGTTTTATTTTTGTCACCACAGACCATCAGAAAGAATTGCTCACTCTCAGCCCAATGACAAGAGGGGACCTACCGTCAGATTTAATTTGATTTTAGAAATGATAGGTGTAATTCTCACACTAAAAATGGTGGGACAGACACACATATTTTCTTCATAGGCTTTGCATAAATGAAACTATGTATATCATAAAGCAATGTCAATTTTCACATGATAATTACTGTAATTAAAAGTTCCATTCACTTCACATAATGTGACAGAAAGACCCGGGAAACCTGGGCCTCTGTCCCAGTCCCACTTCTGTGTAGCAGCTGGGAACATGTCTTCCTCATCTGTAAAATGGGCACAAACTCTTTGCCTTGCCTTATTTCACAACTGTTCATCTCCAGATGTTATTATGCAAGGCCTCTGGAGTGTTAGACAAGGATGATCTATAAGTAAGTCACAGACCAAAGTTAGTGCATTGCTTTACAGTACAATTCTGTTCCATACAGAATTTTTAGCTTTGAGCTTTGATTGTACAGGTTAAACTCATTGATTAGGTAAGATTATTAAAGAAATAATCTGCATCAAAAACAAAAAATCTGAATAACCCAAATGTCCACCAACAGAATAAATTGATACACACTAGAATATATACAGCATGAAAAATGGATGTACTCAGTACATACTATACATCATAAAGATAAAGAGAACCAAGACACAAAAGAATATACAGCATGACTCATTCATATAGCATTAAAAACATGCAAACTAACTTGTTCAGGGAAAACCTACATAAACAGAAAAATTATAATGAAAAATAAAGAAATGATTATCACAAGTTAAACAGGGCTGTTCTCTGACTGGGGGGTGAGGTGGTAAAAATATGATCGGGGACATTCATTCAGGGACATTCATGGGTATTGGTTATTTTAAACTTTTTGTGCATGTTTACACACATGTATGCACACACTCACGTGCACACACACACACATATATGTATGACTTTCTGTATCTATATTATGTTTTCTAAGAAAAGATTAAAAAAACAAAAACCCCACTGGATTCTGTATAAATGATGTCATGTCAACAGTGCTGTTTTTTAAAAAAAGACTTATACCAACAGTTTGCTTAGATTTCAATTTCAGGTATATCAAAGTAAAAAGTTATTCAGTTGAGATTTTATTTGAAATAAAACCCTTTCAAAAAGACAGTGTAGTCATTTAGCAGGTCATGGTGATTCATGTGACTATGTAGCTAATTGTTAATAATCATAGATTGTTCAGGTATTTCCAATGGCCAATTCAAAATTCTAGCATTAAGAATAAAAAGACTCGAGGATTACAGTTCACCACCTGAGCACATCCCACACCATCAACCTGAAAGAAAAGACAAGGTTACATGGAGGACTTGGGATACCATGCCTTACCAGCTGGCTGTGTTTGTGCTATTCTCTTAGGGTAAGTCTTGCTTCGACTTCTTGCCACATTCTGATCAGGCCGGGGAAGTTGGATAGAAAGATCTCGACTCATCTGCAAAGCTGTCCTGCCACTTGAAAATGAACATTTTTGATTAGCAAAGGCAAAAACACACAGACACAAAATTAAACAACAGCTCATTCAGAATATCCAAAGAAGAAAAATACACAACTCAATTGGCCATAAGCATACAGAGATTTTTAACTGATTCTCACTGTAATATTAGGCAAGGAAGTAGGATTAAATTCTAGGAGGAGTTTTATGTTAGAAGGAAAAATCTTTCTGAAGGAGAAACAGGAAGAAAGGGTTCATTAAAAGTGGAGTTAGATGATTTTAGCAGAATGATGGGCTAGAAATAAAGCTTGCTGACAGTCTTGTGCTCTACAACTAAATGATAAAGAAATCATGGTGATAAAGAAATCACAAGGCAACATTTATACATGATGGTCCACTCAGTGTACTTACAGGGTAAACTGTAAAGCATTTCCTGCAGGACCAAGTAGTACGATTTTATCCTAAACCCCATCTTGGCACAATCAGCCATTCATTCTGGCCTCCTCACCTAGCAGGCCATGCACCCCTGAAGATCAAAAGCAGTTCTACAGCTTTCTCTCAGTGAGCTAAACTTCTCTAGTAATTTTCCCAAGAAATTGCATAGATTTTCTCAAGTAATTTTCCCAAGAAATTGCATAGATCACTTGTTAGATTTCAGTGAACATTTATCTCACTAAAAATTTATTTCACAACTGCTGAATTTGAGCCAGTGAATGACCTGGCTTTCATGAAAGGGGTCTCACTGAGGTACAGGAAAAATGCATTTCTCTAAGTCTAGTTTGCTCCACTACAAGGAGAACCACCTATGGGAGAAAATGAAGCCTTTCAATGGCCTCAAATCTAATTCATCCTACATTTACAGAATAAATATTGGTGAAGATCCTCCCAAACAAGATTAGACCTATAACATGAAATTAATCTCATATGTTTCTGTGAATGTTCCCACTTCTCAATATCCACTTTTTATTAAAAACAAAGATGCCTGCAACATTCTCTAAAAAAATGGGTTCCTCAGGAGGCTAAGGGGGACACTACTTGATATGAGGCACTACAAGAGTAGAGATGCCAAGTTCCATCTGTGAGTGATTCATGTTCAATAGCTCACAGGAATTGGAGGGGAAAGAACAGGCCGTGGCAGGCTTTCTTTCACTTGAAACTTCATTATTTTTTCAAAGGTATACAATTTCTGAAAAGCTAAAAAACATTCCATAGAAAGAACAAAATTCCATTATAATAAAGGGTTTGGAGTATAAAGATAAGATCTACTGACATTAGACTTTCTTATCAGAAAGACTTGGGCACTGTGCACTACCTTGCACAAAGGAAGAAATACTTGCTCTAAAAATATAAGCCAATATACCAACCACTGAAACATTTTATAATGAGATTGTAAAGTGTTATTCAATTTTCCCTCATGGTTTCTCTCTCAGGAACAAAGGAGAAATGAGAAAAATCACAACACAAGATTAATGACACTAAGGTCCAGAAACGTAAACTGATCTGCCACAGGCTGTGCAGGACCATGGACTAAAACAAGCTTTCTGACCCCCAGCTGGCCTGTGTGGCACAGCTTGACGGCATGGGAGAACGGACAACACTCAGTCATTTGTTTAAGTAACAAGCCATTTTGAAAACATTGCTTTGCCTTTCCCTAGCTATGGGGTCTTCAGCAGTTTGTTTTTTAAAAATACCTGCAAATTCAGTTTCCTCATTTATATATACTTCTACTTGTTCTGTTTCCTAGCAGAAACAGTCTTACACAGTATTCTGACTATTTCCTTGTAACAGAAAGTAATGAACAAGCACATAAGAGGCTAGCAGTAAATGTTGACGGGAGTTCACCTACACGTCTGATGGCTCTATGTTGTGAAATGACAAAGCTCTAATCCTACTTCCCTGCCTCCTTAAAACTCTAAAGCCCCCTTATATGACAGTGATAATGCCATCAGCCCTTCTGGTTTAAAGTGAGGAAAAGGATAAAGAACCAGGTTTAAATCCCAGGTTTGCCATTTTTTTTAAATTATTTTTTGAGGGGCCTCCAAATTCTCATCTGTATAATCGGGGATATGATACCTCCTCTGGCAGGCCACTGTCAGGATCAAATAAAGTAGCACATGGGAAAGCACCTGGCACTAAAGAAATTCTCATGAGAACTCAGTCTCTCTTCTGTGCTTCATGAAATGTAAGATCCCATGAGAGTTCCTTCAATTTAAGTTGGAGGAAGACGTCTAGGCTCCAAGGAGTGGGGGTGGGTTTCTCAGGCCTTATTCTTATTTCAGGAGTATAAATTTCACACAACTCATTCATTCATCCAAACCAGAAGACCCTTACAAACAACAGCTAAGGGCAAGGTCAATTTTTAAGGGACTCAAAGGAGACAGCAATGCAAAACAAAATATTTAATCAACCAAAGATTTAATCAATTTCCTTTTCAGACCATTGGTTTCTGATTCACACACACACACACACACACACACACACGGGACTTAGAATGTCAGATTTTAGCTCAGCCTTTCCTTCCCAACTTAATCATAAAATATGATTGTCCCACATTACTAAAAATATCTTAAGTAATGATGTTTTCCCGAAAGATATCAGAATCTCCTTGGTATTTTGTAAACCCTAAAATGCAGGACAAAATGAAGAGTAGAAGGCTGTCTTCCTCCACCGTAAACATGTTCACACACAACCACAAAGTGCTCACATATAGCACATACACACTTATAAACAGACAGCTACATTTACACACTGCAGCTACTTGGTATTTCTCTTCTCTCTTTCCCATGCTCTGCAAGCCTGTAGGGTAAAGGAGAGGCTGTCTGTATTCCAGAGCCCTGCTCTTATTCCAAGATATCTCCAGATTGTCTCAAAAAAGAGACAGGTACAAGATGCTGGTTCAAGGATGGTTGTTTGTCATCTTCTGACAAGACACAGTTTATACCTTTAATGACCATCCAGCAAGCAGAGATCTAAGCTCTGGACAGGGGGACAAAACACCTTTCTTGAAGGGTAGGGTAAAGTTAGTGCTTCCTCCATTCAGATGTATAGATTTGGATTTCATTAAGATTTACTAGGCTTTTAACATTAGGCACGAAATTAGAACAGATCTAGCAGAGCCTTCAATTCTGCAAAGGTTACCTTTAATTAGTTTCTTGGACAAACTGATATTTAATATGCAAAATCCAATAACTGTCTAATAATAATTCCCAGTAGCCACAACATTTGCATTTCAATAAATTTGAGAAATCAGGTGTGGTTAAATTTGTGGAATTCAACTACAGTACCTGTTAAATAGCATAATTATAATTTTAATAGTATAAACACGAAGATAGATGCCTTTCACTGGCTCCTTTCAATGATAAGGGGATAGCTTTACACATTTTTTTATAACCCCAGCAGTGTTTTATGCCACAAGGGAAAGAACAGCCAAAATACTATTAGCTTCCTAATAGGAAAGTGAATAATCTTTCCTTAATTATATCACTAAGGAAGAACCCTGGAAAGGTGAAGGTTATATATTTAAACATTAACAAATACTTTCATACAAAAACCAAGGATATCTATAACACAATAACACTTAAGTTTTCGCTTAATCACCAAATAAGCAAACATTCCACTGAATAACATGTACAGATGGATACAATGAGCATTTAATATTAATCACTCTTTCACTGATTTGTCTTTGGTATCATTTAAGACCCAAAAAGGGTGTTATTAAAAAACAGGAATTCAAATCTGCCACACTCTATTGCTTGACTCTATTTTTAAGTCTCCAATGGAAGCATTTCATTCAGTGATGCCTCCAGTGGAATGGACAAACCAGCGTCCTGTCCCTTGGGTGGCATTTCTGCACCTTGCTTGCTTGTACAAGACCCGAGGGCCTGCCTTACCGTCTGAATGACACTGTAGCTCTCTGAAGGCGGAGGTGGCTAGAGCTCACTCTTGTGTCTCTGGGCTCCTAACACAATGCCTTGCACTTCACATGTCTCCCACTGAACAGAATGAATTGAAACAAAAATTCTTTTTCTCAAAATATAACTCCTACTTTTAATAGACAAAGACACAAGCATCTGCCCAGCTGCATGATAACCAGGTTTTTTTTTCCCCAAACAGGCTAATTGTCTCAGGGTTTAAAATGCAGGCTATCGCATTAGACCACAAGAGTGTCAATTCTACCTCACTGCTTCATAGCTGGTTACCTTGAAAAGTGACTTGAGCTCTCTGAGCCTCAATTTCCTCACATTAATGGGCATAATATAACAGAAGACCATGCAGATTAAATAGGACAAAAATGGAAAATATTCAGCAAAATAATGGCATTTACAACTGCTCAATAAAATTAAAATATAATTAACATTATTATATAAAGGCTTTATACAAATATGTATAGTCATTTTGTGGCTCAAAAGCACCCTTTGATGTACAATATAAAGCATACATTTTGTTACACAGGAGGTCACCTAAATGTCCAAATAATACAATCAATCAGCTACTACTCAGAATATCTACTGTTTATAATCACAGAACATAATTAGAAATTATAATTGTATCAAATGAAATTCTGAAGGCAACAAGCCCTACTACTTTCTAAAAGTCCTACACTTAACAAAGCTAGCACAGGCATTATTAAGATTAAATCTGGAAAACCATTTTTTGTTGAGAAAGACAGCTTTAATAAACCACTATACTTACAAAACACATACACACCAAGGGAAAAAAAGAGAAAAATATTAAATCATATACTTCATTATGCATGTATGAGTGCAGCTGAATTAAATATTTATTTACGTGTACACACCCTAAGGAAAAACATGTCACTTACCTGTACCGGTGCTTGTAACTTATGGATCCAAACTTGCTAAGTTTCCTTGACAATGAATTTGATTCCGTTTCTGGCATTCTAATTGATTTTAAAAACAAACACAAAGACTCATCAACAGATACTTGTGCAACATCTGAGCTTAAAGTCATATAGAAAACATAATGATGCAACACTATTTAACAGAGATATTCAAAATATTTATTCTACATAATGGTAGGAAATAGCAGTCAGTTATTTGAAGGTAACAGTGGAAACTCAACCACCCCTTAGGATGTTACATGTATATAATATCAAATATTCATACTTTTTGAAGAGTATTACATACATCATTGCCTTACAAAGATTTAACTGTGAATCAACTTACTTTCTCCCCTTGAATTACCTTTGAAATTTTGTCACTATTCTGATTTACTCATGTTAAGGTTTTCATATCAGATGTGGTGGTTCAATGCACTCTAGTACTTTGCATTTCAAGGTACTTTCAACTGACACCACCACAGGGAGCCTGGCAGCCCAGTCCCATTTAACTGGAGTCAAAATCATTTACTTTGTGGGCTGTATTGTTGCCCTAACATAAACTGTATATAGGACACTGGTCAATTTTTAAGACTATTTCTCCAACACCATGCTATTTAGGGAAATCAAATAGGAATAAGGGGGAATATTCAACCTTGTTTCAATTTAAAAGCAACACAAAACAGTAAAGCTTAATGGATTGCCTGCTAAAATTTTGATTTATCTTTACAACGTAAGGACACAAAACAATGAAAACTGTGTCCACAATCCAAAGGTGAATTTTCTATCCTCACCTTACTTGGCCTCGCAGGAGCACCACGCATAGATTCTGGCACCCTATTCCTAATTTCTCAGGATGTGACACCTTCTCCTTCTTATTCCTCTCATGATCCTCCTCTGGATTTTCTTGTCTTCCAAATGCAAAGAGGGTCCAGAGCGCAGTTTTTGGCTTTTCTGCTTTGTGTACTTCTTCCTCTTTTCCACAAATAGCTTCATCCAGACCTTCTGTCTTAAATACCTGCTAAAGCTGTATCACCCACCTTCGTCTTTCCAGTGAGCCCTATACACCCAATTGCCTCACTACATCTTGGCTTAGATAGATCACAGGCGTTTTGAATTTAATACGTCCACAGAAGAACACTTAATTTCTAACAATAACACAGATATAAAATCTGCATTTTTATATAAAACTAAAAATAATTATCCCATCATTTCCTGTACATGAGCAAAAAAGATGTATCCGTAAGTATGTGTATGTGTATGTACATGTGTGTGTCTGTATTAATACAACCAGAGAACTGAGGCAATACAAATTAATAAAAGGGAAACACATCTAAATTCCTGTTTATAGACAGAACAGATTCTTATTATAAAAACAAATGCCCTTTTCATGTGTTAGAACAAGTTTCCCAATAACATACCTAAAAAATGTATGATGTTCCACACTGCATTTCCAGAGATGCTTGCAAGCAGTTTTACTCCGAGCTTCAAAAAAGAATGAAGTTTCATTGCACTGAGAGAGAAAGACAGGAGAGAATGGTGAATCATTGATCCTAACTCTCTTTAGATTACAGCCCTATGTTAGGTAACAGAAATTCAAGAAAGCAGAGAGATTATTAACACATAAAACAAAAAATCATTATTTCTTGGTAACTATTTTTTGGATGGTAGCATTAAAATCACTTTCTAATAATTAAAATCATAAAATAAAAGTTCTGTTTAAATTTTTATACAATCACTTTTTTAATCTACTTTGCCCCATGACTATGGGAAATACAGTAAAATGGCAAAAATCACCTCCCATAAATGGCTACTGTTACATGATAAATATTTGACTCTGTGACTATCACTCCCTACAAAAGGAGATGCTTATAAATGTAGTCATTAAGTGCATTATTTTCAGGGATGTACAGGTCACATTTAAGCTGATGTCTAAAGAATCCCAGGAGAAACCACAGGGAGTGACCACTACTGCAGTATAATCTTGGCAAATTAGGTAACGAGACCTCTGTTTCAGAGTCCTTTTCCTTTCTGCACCACTATTGGGTAAATTAAACTACATAATATGACAGATGTAAAAAGTCATGTTATAGGATACAATAAATTTTAGGTATTATTTCATTCTAGTAACTTTTCATTCTTTAATATATTTAATATATAAGAATATATAAGAATAAGGACACAGTAACAATAATCCTAATTTTGTACAAGATACTATTTGTGACAATAAAAAAATGAGCAAAATACAATATGAGTGCTATAGTAATAAACCAGAAGCTCTGTGAAGTTATATAATTGCTAATATAGTTTCAAATTTAAAAAACCAAACTCAAGCCTTAAGTAATGCCTCTGGAATGAGCTTCCTACGGACTCATAAACACAAAACTGTCAGTGCAGAGAAATAATTGAAATGATTTGTCCCCCACTTTTAAGAAGGACAGAAGATTTATATGCATGAAATAAATTTCTAAGACCAAATGGAATGATGATGCTTAACTTAGGAGTTTATTTGTAAAATGAAAGGGTGTAATGGGAATAAAGCCAACATATTTGTGTTACAGCAAGGCTAGCAACCATTCTAAAACCTTCTGCGGTGGAATAAGAAATTTAAGTTTTTCAGGATTCTCAGGCTTTTGACTTGGGTGCTACTATTAAAATATAGTAAGTGAAAAAAATTGGGTATTTGGATGGCAAAGACATGGACAGTAAGTTCAGGTTAGGATATTCTGACTTGAGATACCCATGGAATACCAAGCAGGAGAGTGAGCTCAAATCAAAGCTCAGGAGAGAGGTCACATCTACGGACACTGGCGACCTCACGGGAGAGTAAAGGAGACAGCTCAGGAAGAGAGTCCAGAATATTAATGGTAGAATCACACGAAAGATGCTGGTGAAGGTGCAGTAAGGGAAACCAAATGAACATGGAGACCATGGTGCCAGAGGCTGGGAGCCGGGCCACAAGTCTCAAGTGACCCAGAAAGGTCAAACTGGGCTTGAAAGGAGGTTACCGCATTTCACGGTAAGAATTCTCTGGTGACTTCTGTGAGAAGGGGAGGGATCGCATAATTAGAGATGAGGAAGAAAATTCTATGAATTCACATAGTGTTTTCCTTAATTGAAAAAGAAACTGGGGGAAGAGGCAGGGGGAGGCAGAAGTGGTGGGGTGAGGGTCCAGAGGAAACCACAGAAGTTTCTTGGGGGCAGGATGGGAAAGCCCAGGCTCCTGTCAGGAGGTGGGAGTGCTTACACAGGCATTTCTTTTTTCTCCTAGTTTTCTTTTTAGAAAATATAGAGCATGTACAAAAGCCAAAAGTCACCTAGGTGGGTGCACAATGACAACTCAATCTCACTCCTACTACTGTCCCCAATTCCCTTCCCCAGAGGCAACTAGTATTTCTATTATTAGGGGTGAGTGTTTTTAAAGGCACATGGTTATCCTAAAATATAACACACAGGTTATTCATTTTACAATGAGTTTGTTTGCCACTGCATTGTCAGGTAAGTTGTTAAGATAAAGGAAGTGCCAGCCCAGGCTGCCCCTGCCACCACCACACATACTGAGCACTAGTGCCTACAAGAAATGGTAGCCGAGGACAACCTCCCTGTGACACCAACACTTTCCCAACTTAGCAGAAACATCTCTTAGTAAGGTGTACTTTAAGCATCCAAATCAGAATGTCAAAAACTGTTTTATTTACATATATTCCAAATTCCACAAAGTAGAAAAGAAATTAAAAAGTATCCAGACTTAAATAAAATATTATCTCCTCCAAATCTCCAACTTTTTTTAGACTGGTTTTCATTTTATCCTTCATCTTAATGTCTATATTTTTTTACTTTTCAAGTAGAGACCTGGTCACAGGGTATCTAACTCTTAATACACTTTTTAAATACCACCATGTAATGCAATGATAAAAGGCTTGTTTAAATCCAACCAGAATTGAGTTTTTCTCAGGTTTATTAAAAGAACAAAAGAGTCCCCCAGCAGGCCTCCTAATTGCTTCTGCCATGAAAGTATGAACTCATTCTTCATTTGCAGAAGGCTTTAAAACAAGCTGTCTATCTTTTATCCCACTGTTGGCAGAACGATCCAAATACCAAAAGGAGAGTTAAAGTAACTAAAATGGGAGCCAGGTATTCTGGATAAATTCTGTGTACTTTTACCACATACAGTAACTGCTGGCAGGAATGAGTTGGATGGCATTTCAAATGTCTCTTTCTACCACTTTCCTACTTATTAAACCTTTTCCAAATAGCTATGGCCAATTAGTGCATTTCCACTCATTCATACAAAGATGAGCAGCTGCTTCATTAAAGAAGTTCATGGGCTGGGGATTTAGCTCAGTGGTTTCACTGCTTGCTGTGCAAGTGCAGGGACCAGAGTTCGATCCCCAGCACTGAAAAAAAAGAAGTTCATTCTGAGCTAATGCTAAAATATCTTAGCTAATGCTTGCTTTTGCAAGACTACTCAAACATTTTTAGAGCTTTGGTCATTTCATGCCAGAAGGAAAGCTATTATCTGAATCTATTTCTTTTACCAACTGTCTGAATTATTTATTTTATAAACAAATCAATCTTAAGTCACTGTATACTCAGACATCATGTGGATATAATTGTCCTTTGGGTCTCTGTACTAACTAGGCTCACAGCCTGAATTCCATTATCTGAAAGAACTCAGGACCTGTCCCATGCTGACAAATTTCCAAATCCCTCTGTTCTTCTCAGGCTCTTTATCCATTTCTCCTGGCTCTATCCCTCCCGGCGAGCTTAAAGAAATAAATCTATTCTGCTTAGCTCCTATATGCACTGAAGTTACTGATAGGATCACTACAGAGCTCGCTCACACTCCAAGCAGCAGAACTACTTATTACAGCTTCACTGCTTCTCCCAAGCCTGTGTTCTTGACCAAAGACCCTTACTGCCACACACAGTCCTGTACTGGTTTCTCTGTGTATCTGTTTTGGAAAATAGCCACAGCTTGACAGTCTGTCTTCCTGAGGTTCCAGAGAATTATGGCAACAAACATCTTCTCAATCCTATTATTAGACACTTATATCACACCCAAGGTCAACAAATAACCTAAGGTACACTGTTAAGTCAGTACTTAAGAGCAAAAGAGATTAGTACTTCTAACATTGGCTAAGATGCAATCATTACACAAATACCTAAAGACCTGAGTTGGGGAGGCTTCCTACTAGTCCTCCATGGATATGGAGGAGAGGCTAAAGACAAGGGGGAGGATTACAAGTATGAAGATTTCAAGTCTAAAGTACTGTGAGACTGCTTTTTTTTTTTTTTTTTTGCATTTTTTACATTCAATCTGTAGGAGATATATGGATAGACAGACACACATATACTTGGCAACTGTTACTTCATACACAAAGAGAAAAATATCAGAGGCCTGATAAAAATGACTAACTTTTTTCTTAATTACTGCTAAAATAAAGGAAGGCAAGTGATGAAACTGAACAGAAAATATATTCTTCAGCTGGAAATAGACACAAAAGAGATATTATAAAATTTTGAACAATTTTCTTTCTAAACTGTGAGTTGAATGATTACAGTTTTAAAAATTGAAACTTACTTTTATATACAAGACAAGTAAGCATGCTGTTTGTTTTACGGCTTTCCTCATAATTTTCATTACTCTTTTTTCTAGGCATCCTGAGATCAAAACTGGCTAACAAATACAGAGTTAGCGTTGGTTTAAAAAAAAGTACCAGTCTTGTTATTACTTGGAAAGGAAAGTCAGAAGGAAATGTTATAACACTGAGTATATATTATCTTATTTGCTCAAGCTTTATCTTTACATAATGCTCCTCAAAGAATGGTTCTTACAACATTCTTATAATATTGGTATAAAAGGGTTTTAAGGTCAAAAAAGCCTGAGGAAGCACTGCGTTAAGTACTGAAATTTTTTGATATGCTAATGTGCACTGTGAATTTGCCATTAGTTGGTAAGGTATTGGCTAATTTCCTAGTTAGTTTGAGCAAATAATTCACTTCAGTATAATTTCAAAACCATTATATTAAATTATTCTGCTTTCTAGTTGAAGGAACTCATAGAAACAAACCCAGAAGTCCAGATGGTTTACTTCTGTTACTGCTTTTATTCTATCTTTTCCTCATCTGCTCTTTAGAGAAACTGTATTTCAAAAATGTCGTTTCTCCCTGATGTGTGCATACTGATAAAATTTTTATTTTAATCACAATTTTATTTTCAATTTTATAAATGTTAAAAATAACCTAATGACAAATACTATTTAGCATATTAAAATGAAGGAATATCTGCTAGGATCTGATATTCTTCAAATTTTTTATAATACAATTTTCATTACTTCTGAACAAATGGCCTCTGTTTCAATTACAAAGAAACTCAACAAAAATACTTCAGCAAGTGAAGCAAAGGAAAAGCCATGGGTCTGGAAGACATGGGCTTTCCTTCTGGACCTGGGACAAGCTATCCACTAGACAAAAACAGCAGGAACAAGGTGATCCTTCAGTCCCTTGCTA